TTTTTCCTTGAGTGGGGTGTATAGGGGCCAAAGAAATCAAAAGAATTATTGAAAGCAAACAATCTCAAATGTGGTCTGACACGCATCAAAATTATACAAAAGACGACGGCTTTTACACTTTAACACGAAAACAACAACACAATATCTTCCGACTCAGAACAGGCCACAACAAACTGAAACAGTACCTTAGACACAGTGGTTGCTTCAAGATTCCAACCCAACCGGCATTTTGCAAATGTTTACATTGCATGTTGCTCTATTATTTGGACAAATCTTATCTTTGGAAAGGGCAGATATAAGTTGTTTGTGGCTTATTGTTGTTGGTGTATGGGTTCGTCTATTTTGGATAGTGTTGCTTTTTTTGTTAACGGATATTGAATATATAGAGGACAATAATATTTCTAATGTTTGAAGCGCACAAGCCCCCGTGGCCTAATGGATAAGGCATCGGCCTCCTAAGCCGGGGATTGCGGGTTCGAGTCCCGTCGGGGGTGTGAACGTTATTTTTTTTTACACAATAACTAAAAATGATTTTTTTTTTAGATTGCGGGTTCGAGTCCTGTCGGGATGTAATTTCTTTTGAATCCGTTACTTCACAATTAGTATTTTACTGTCTTTACCAGAATGTTGTTTACGATGATAATTTTTTTTTTAAATTTTGAAATTTCACTTAAAATTTATTATCATAGTGTTTTTTTCATTATCATAGTCTTTCTCCCATCCAACCAATCCCCCCCTCCCCTTAACAAATACACCTTCTCTCCCCACTCACTGCCCCCTCCCCTCCCCTGATCTTCCTACTTTTCGCACCCACTGATTGAAATGTAATGAGTTAATAATTACGCACAAAAAAAAAACTCGACCACTAACGAAACCAAAATGCCACCCCCACCCCCACCACCCCCGCGCCCCGTGTCCTCCCCTATGGCGGCACCGCCACACGCCCACCCTGACAGTCCTAATGTCCGCGAACTCAACGGTCCAAACGAGAGACTCCCAGCAGGATTTCAAAACGGACAAGTTGTCTCCCATCCGGCCGAGTAGCCTCCCCTCCACCCAAGTTCCCTCCCTTCCATCATGGCGGCGGTGCGCATGCGTCCTCGTTAGCTTACCCGACAACTCGTGAGTCGAAGCGCGCGTGCTCCCGACGCCTCCTGCCCGGAGCGCCCTCCCCGGGGGCGACTGATACGGGCGTTATCGTGTTCCCCGGGGGTGGTACCCGCGACTGTAGATTGATACGGTGTCTGGAGGCCCGTCCATCCCCGGGCTCCCCGGGTGTCGTTTATTAACGGGCGGGCGATTAGTTGTAAATAAGAGTATCTATAGACCCCCGGGCCGTCTCACTCACTCCATGCACGCGAGACGGGGTCAAAGGACAAGCAAATACAGCGGTTATTTCGTCCAGTGGGTTGGTCGTTCAGGGGGTAGTTCGTCCAGTGGGTTGTTGGTCCAGTGGATAGTTGGTCCGGTGGGTAGTTCGTCCAAAGGATAGTTCGTCCAGCTTCTAGTTCGTCTAGTGGATAGTTCGTCCAGTGGATAGTTGGTCCAGTGGATAGTTCGTTTAGTTCATAGTTCATCCTGTGGATTGTTCGTCCAGCCTCTAGTTCGTACACCGATAAATATTCCCGTAGCCAGTTTATCTAGTGCTGAATTTAACTAGCGGTCAATTTGTACAGATTTCAGCTTTTCCATTGATTAGTACTTCCATTGTAGCTTGTCTATATTTAGCGTATGTGTCCTTCACAAAATCCAACGGTGTATTCGTTGAGTGTTTTTATTTTATTTTTTATTTTATTTGTCTATTATCCTACAAGTATTATTTATTTTAAATTGTTGAAACCAGAGTACAAATTTATGTGAAAACCTTTTCAACCTTTATGTTTCGCATGGAACGGCGTGGTTGGCTGGTAGAGTGCTCGACCTCTAGCCCGAAGGTCTAGAGTTCGAATCTCGGTCAGTACTAGGACGTCCAAATTCCACTCAGCTCTGATGGGTACCTGACACGTTATGGAACGTAAAGGCGGCTGGACACCTTCGAGTGCCGAGGTCATGAAACTTATGGACTGTACTGTATCTCCACTATCTCATTTATTTTTCATATTTTAGATCCTCTATTTGCCAAGCATTGTTGAGTAACTTAAAATAAATCATCAATATTTTTTTACTTTATAAAAACATGATATTATTAGGCGAGAAATCGGATAGTTCTAGAACATTTTTTGTATTCCTGTTGATTTTCCTGGTCATTGCTAAAAAAATAAAAAAATAAAAAAAAATAATACCCTAGGACCTCCAGCTCTGTCCTCCAACCCAAAATATATTTATTACCCACAACCCCTCCCACCCTCCCACTCCCTACATTACTCCCACATGTGCCGGCGCAGACGCGGATAAACCCCCGCGTTTTTCCGTTCTGCCGGGCCCGGCTTTTTCTGCTTTTATTTTGAGTCGACAATTACTCTACGGTGTCGGCTCCGAAGCGAGTACGTCTTCGTTACCCGACGATTTATTCCATCATGGCCGCCCTCTCGGGAGCTCGGGTTTCTCCGAAGTGCGATTTCGCGCCGGCTTCGAGAGTTTTCCATAGTCTTCGATACGGCGCATAAATGAATATTAATAAGGCTTCTGGTCTTGTCGGCTGCCGGGGGCCGGCGCGGTCCGGTTCCGAGGTCCGTGGTGTAGGATGACGCGGTTGGCCGTCTCCGGTCGCCGTATCGCCAGTCAGGGTTCCAGATACCGGCAGAAATTTATGATTCCTACCCCGCGCCAATGACATTTTTTTTTTCAAGTGCTTCTTTTATTAGCCGGTTGCTGGCTCGTTTATTTGTGGGGTTTCCCGATAGATATCTGGTGGTTTTTCCCGATAGATAACTGATGGTTCTCTCGATAGATAGCTGTTGGGTTTTCCCGGTAGATCTCTGGTTGAGTTTTTCAGATAGATATTTGGTAGATATTCCTGATATGTTTTCCCGATAGATTTTTGGTGGGTTTCACCCATCGATATCTGATAGTTTCCCCGATAGATATCTAATGGTTATCCCGATAGATATCTGGTGGTTTTTGTCGATAGATTTCTGGTGGTTTTCCCGATAGATCTCTATTGGGTTTTCCCGATAGATATTTGATGAGTTTTCTAGGCCTTTGTCTTTTCCCGACAGTTTTCTCAATGGTTTTGAGGATTTTATTTTCTTGCCTAGATTTTACTAATTGGACACTATTTTTTAGTAACTTTCATTGAGAGTAGAGATATATTTATAGCATAAAAACTCCGATGGCTGCAGTAACTACCCATACATGTATAAGCCTCTGTGTGTTTTCCAGAAGCTGTGTTGTGGGCAAAAGGTGTCCACCTGTAAGGGTCATTTAAGATACCATGTAACCTACACTGTAAATTGTGATTGGCTATCCCAAAGTACACAAAAACAATCACAACCAGTGACATAGATTTATTTGACCGCACCACTTTGCGCACCGCCCAACACCAGTACAGATGTGTTGCTGACCACACAATGTAATAGAATGCACAACTATTTTGAAAAATATGTTTCTAACAAACATATGATATCAGCCCCCGTGGCCTAATGGATAAGGCATCGGCCTCCTAAGCCGGGGATTGCGGGTTCGAGTCCCGTCGGGGGTGTTAACGTTTTTTTACACAATAACTAGAAATATAATTTTTTTAGAATGTCATGTTATTGTTAGGGTTTCTTTCGAATATTCTCCTCCGGGGTTGGGGAGGGGGGGGACGCCTTGTTAAGGTATGTATTATTTAAATAAATTGCATACTTTTTTTAATTTCGTCCACGGTGGGTTGGGTGGGTGGGGAGAGGGGCGCTGTTACCCGGACAGATGCCTGAGACAAAAATTTATTATTAACATTTTTGGAAATCAGCGTGTTTAACTTGAAAACTGATTGTTAGAATTCGATTTAACATATATTGTATTACACTAAGAGGGACAATCTGCCCTTCTAATACTGTATATAACATTAAATGAATACGTTTCCATTGACCAGCACTTTTCAACTTTTCTAGTAACAAACAGTTTTGTACGTATTTCTGAGGGGGGAAATGGTGTAAGGGAAGTAATCAAGAAAATGAAATCCTTAACTCTTAGGCATTGTTAACTCCCTTTAAACATAAAAAAGCTACGGTAAGGAAAAAAAAGTGTTTTGGATCAAACTTTCCATTTAGGCATATGGCTATGTAGTCAGCATCATAATAAATCAACCTTCATTTCACGTTTTCACAAATAAATAGACTCAAAGGTTTCCACAGAACTTATGTTCTGATCAGACTCTTGTTCCGCGTCGTAGGATAAATAAGGGAAAGAACTCTGTCCGTCTTACGCGCGCAAAAATTATTTAAGTAGCACCTCTTGGTATGTAGGTATGTATGTGCTTCGACCCATCTTGGCAACGTCGTAGGGAGGGGGGGGGGGACTTTTGGGGGAGGGTGTGGGATGGGTTGGGGGGAGAATTGGTGACGATGTGTGATGGATGAAGGGTAAATTATGATGACACATATTTGAATAAACAGTAGATACTGAAAATTGTAATAAAAAATTCATCAGCTACTCCATGTCAACAGGGTCCATAAAACACCTTAGAGGCATTACCACAGACTTGAGTCAGCTTCATGATTGAAAGACAGTGACAGGGTTTCTTTCAGACATTTTCTCTAGGGCGGGAAGAGGCCACTTGAAACTCCCGGGGGGGGGGGGGGGGGAGACCATTTTAAAAAATGTCTGCATAAATTATGTTTTTTTCTATTTTTTCCAGGTGGCAGTTAAAGTATATTTTGTTTATTACATTTAAGTATATACTTGTTAAAGTATGTATTATATTTCCTACATAAATTATTTATATTGCCCCTTCCGGATAGATTTCTGATAGAAACTCTGATAATACAATTTTAAAAAGCCTTAGTAAAAGTCTGCTCAGACTAACTCAGTTGGATAAAACAAATACAAAAACTTCATAGGAATTAAAAACAAATTTATTGAAATATAAATCTGAATATTTAAGGCATAATTTAATTAGACATACTGATGGTATAACAATAGCAATACTTAGTCTATTGCACGTTCAATTAATGTATTGTCATGTAACGTTTTATTTCTCTTTTTTAAAGAAATATATAAGGATTTTTTAATACCTTTAAATTTATTATGTGCCAAACATTACCTGTAAAATCCATAAACTGACCAAAATGATACTGGTCTGATATCAAAGCAGACTTTTAGGGAATTTACAAGTTTTAAAACATAAGTAGTAATGTGATTTTAAAAACTATGACTGATGTTTTAAAAAAAATAAAATAGAACTGCTGTTGCTAAAATATGCGAACAGTAGCAAAAATAAAGCTGATATAAATATAAAAAGACAGTGAATCAATTCTTTGTTCCCATTTTTTACATTGGAAAATCTCCCTGCACAGCAAACCAAGCATTTTTTTAATCAAACAAAAGCAATTAAATTACATACATAAATTTGAGAGAGCCATCAAATATTCAAACACAAAAAAGAAAAGAGAACTTGATATAATTTTTTTTCCGTTCCAAAAGTGGATATAAAGAGATTTCTCTAAAGGTGGATTTAAACATATTACCTCATGGTAAAAAAATGGAAGAATAAAATGGTCATATACATTCAATGCTCGGATGGGCTGTCAGATGTCCAATTACTAGTTGGGTCCTATGGTCCCATTACTTCTGGGGTCCTATTGTCCCACTACTACTGGGGTCCAATTACTAGTTGGATCGTATGGACCCTCTACTACTGGGGGTTCCATTACTAGTTGGGTCCTATGGTCCCACTACTACTGGGGTCCTATTGTCCCACTACTACTGGGGTCCTATGGTCCCACTACTACTGGGGGTTCCATTACTAGTTGGGTCCTATGGTCCCACTACTACTGGGGTCCTATTGTCCCACTACTACTGACGGTTCCATTACTAGATGGGACAATTGGTCCCACTAGTTTGGCACTTGTTGTGCCACTATTAATGGTCTGCCTAGAGTTCTACCACATCCCATGAAAGAAAAAAAATTAAAGTTTGTATATATATACATGAAGAATATGTTAAAACATTAGACCTAATCTTTGAAATGTTGAACACATGTGGAAGGAAATAGATACATTCAGCCACCATAGGAACACACATGAAAAATCTTCAATACAACTTGTAGTTAAAAGGCACAGATATAAAATGCTGTATAACTAACAACAATAGCTTGGTATATATAGAAGATTTAAAATAAACTTTTTTTTTGTACATCACATAGAGAAATTGTAAATATAAAGCACATTCAAACAAGGCAATAGTAGCATCACATATAACAGTCAGTAACAGTTTAAAACAAATCTTGTGCTAAATTTAAAGCACTACTCTTATTTAGATACTATTTCTTTTTTAAACAAATTGAGAAAAATAAATAATGCATACAGTAACAAATAAATTAAAAAATGTAGGTATATAGCTATTCCAGGAATGTAAAGTAAAAAGTAATGTACTAAAACAACTAAAGTATTTTACCACAGTCAACTTCAACAAATTCATAAGTCAGTTAACAAATATAAAAATTGACAGCAAATTTTTTTTTTAAATCAGAAAAAATTAAACCCCATTATGCATAATCAAAATTATTTTTTTAAGATCATAAACAAAACCTAGTAGATAGAATAAATATGATTATTTTCACCACTGGATTACTTAAATGTTCTTTTCATACACATTTAAAATGTAAAAATAATAAGAACTCATGCAAGAAAGCATGATGACATTTCATAGCATAAAATCATTTACCAATGTTAGTAAATGATTTTTAAAAAATATATTAATATCTAAACAACATCCTAACTCAGATTAACTATATTATATTAATTTGATTATGATCTTGTAACAACATTGGTGTATGAACTATTTGGGTCACTTATATATTTGTATAATTTTATCACAAAGGCTGCAACAAAATATACAAAAACATAACAAAAAATGTTGACTAGCAAAAGAGTGAAATAAAAGTCAGCCAAAAAAAACACATTAATTTGAGCCCTTCAATACTGCATTCAATAAATTTTAAAAATATCACTCAGTACATTATTGCAACATCCATAAAATTTGATTTTAAAAATATCTAATCTCCATGTTTAACATCCATCATACAATTTAAAGTACTAAAAATTAACAGCTCACAATTTAAAGTACTAAAAACTAACAGCTGACAATTTAAAGTACTAAAAACTAACAGTTGACAATTTAAAGTACTAAAAACTAACAGCTGACAAATTTTACTGACAAAACAATTATGAAATTTAATATGCCAGATTCAAGTAACTTTAAACTTTGTTATGTGTATAGCTACAATTTGACCCTAGGACTGTTAAATAATAATTACACAACATATACCGTTCAATTAGGACTGCATTATATTGTTAAACCAAACACAAGATATTTTAAATAAATGAAAGGCTTTTGAAAGCCTTCTGATGGTGATATATACTGCTGACCATACATAACCATATAAAAATTAGTTTTTTGTAAAATAATGTATTATGAATAAGATATTAAAAATTAGTTTTTGTAAAACAATGTATTATGAATGAGATATTAAAAATTAGCTGAAGCTCTATCAATACCTCACATTTAAACACTCCAAAAGTTGAAAGTAAAATTCTATGTATCCCACAAATCCAGGTATAAAAATATTCAAATATAATTATGTTATTAAACATTATTTACATAAAAATTAAATGCATACAATTTTTTTATACTTGTTAAAATATATTTAAATTGTGCATTAATATTTTTTTTAAATAAATAAAATTTTAATTTGTAGTTTGTGGATTTTATTTGTGGAATTCAGTGCTAACAAGACAGGTAAATTACAGGTAAGAAACCTTACTGTGTGGCGTTAGATAGCAATGTGGGTGTAAGATTATTGAGAGAAATATTCCCATAGGTTGTTCCATTTACTCCAGTCAATTCACTCCAGTTTGTTGAGTTTATCCACACCATAGAATGGGATTTGGGGTTGTAAATTTCAGATATGGTGGAATAGACGTCGTAAAAAACAGCAAAGTTGAAGAAAAGTGGAATGATGAAGATGAGGTATTCAGAACATTTTGACATAGGCAGAGGAATTTCCAGGTCCCTGAAAGTTAAGATTTTATAAATAATTTGAGCCTAACTTTAATATGCTTAATTTTAAAAAGTTAAGTATCTTTCTGAACTAATGGTAGTTGGGCAGATAAAGCAGAGTTAACCTGTATCTAAGAACAAGGAATATGTGGGACCCATATTCACATTCCCTGACATGAGTCATGAACTTGCTAAAGTTAACAAAACAATGAATTTATATTCTGTGAATTTTAATAAGTAAAATTAATTTAATTAATTATATCACAAGACGGCTGAATGGTCAAGTTTATTTATAGTAACACTGCTGACAAGAAAAAACTCACTGATAATTCTGTCTTCTGGACCAAAGAAACATGAGGAAAATAAAAATACCAACTTCGGCATTCAGGGAAAATGAGACCAGCTTCTCCAGGATGTCAATAAATCCCTGTGAGAAAACAATGTTACAAAGTTACAAGTTACAAAATAATGTTACAAAGTTACAAGGTAATGTTACAAAGTTAAAAGATAATGTTACACAGTTACAAGATAATGTTACACAGTTACAAGATAATGTTACAAAGTTACAAGATAATATTGCAAAGTTACAAAATAATGTTACAAAGTTAGAATTAGTTACTTTATGAAGTCACACGGTAGAGTTATAAAACAGTTGCAAAACAAAGTAACAAAATAATTCTTAAAACTCAAACTTTTTAATCTAGTATAGCTACACACCTGTGGGTCTAGCTACACACCTGTGGGTCTAGTATAGCTACACACCTGTGGGTCTAGTATAGCTACACACCTGTGTCTAGTATAACTACACACCTGTGTCTAGTATAACTACACACCTGTGGGTCTAGTATAACTACTCACCTGTGTCTAGTATAACTACACACCTGTGGGTCTAGTATAGCTACACACCTGTGGGTCTAGTATAGCTACACACCTGTGGGTCTAGTATAGCTACACACCTGTGGGTCTAGTATAGCTACACACCTGTGGGTCTAGTATAGCTACACACCTGTGGGTCTAGTATAGCTACACACCTGTGTCTAGTATAACTACTCACCTGTGTCTAGTATAGCTACTCACCTGTGTCTAGTATAACTACACACCTGTGTCTAGTATAGCTACTCACCTGTGGGTCTAGTATAGCTACTCACCTGTGGGTCTAGTATAGCTACACACCTGTGGGTCTAGTATAGCTACACACCTGTGTCTAGTATAACTACTCACCTGTGTCTAGTATAGCTACTCACCTGTGTCTAGTATAACTACACACCTGTGTCTAGTATAGCTACTCACCTGTGGGTCTAGTATAGCTACACACCTGTGTCTAGTATAGCTACTCACCTGTGGGTCTAGTATAACTACACACCTGTGGGTCTAGCTACTCACCTGTGGGTCTAGTATAACTACACACCTGTGGGTCTAGTATAGCTACTCACCTGTGTCTAGTATAGCTACTCACCTGTGGGTCTAGTATAGCTACACACCTGTGTCTAGTATAGCTACTCACCTGTGGGTCTAGTATAACTACACACCTGTGTCTAGTATAACTACACACCTGTGGGTCTAGCTACTCACCTGTGGGTCTAGTATAACTACACACCTGTGTCTAGTATAACTACACACCTGTGGGTCTAGTATAACTACACACCTGTGTCTAGTATAACTACACACCTGTGGGTCTAGCTACTCACCTGTGGGTCTAGTATAACTACACACCTGTGTCTAGTATAACTACACACCTGTGGGTCTAGCTACTCACCTGTGGGTCTAGTTACACACCTGTGTCTAGTATAGCTACTCACCTGTGGGTCTAGTATAGCAACAACAAACACAACAACAAAAGCCAAGAAAGATAATCCAGTCTTTGCAAGCCTAAATATTGAAACAAGAAAACATAGCTACAAAAGGAGTTTTGGTAAAGTGGGAGAGAACCTATTGTTACATGGACAATGAAAGGGAAGTAATATGTTGTGATGGCATAAAAATGATGAATAGTTTTGTTTTAGATAAAAGTAGTGACAATAGTGACAAAATTCATAAATTGGTAGCAAAAATTATAAAGTTTACCAGAATGACAACAATGATTCTTATTATAAAGATTGTCTGGGTTTAATAGGCAACAATTGTTTAAGTAATTTTAAACTAGCCAGTTATAGCAACATACATGACAATGTGTCAAGCAAAAAAGAAAAAAAAAACATCCTTGGAATTATAAGCAATTAAAATAAAATTATTTGGTGGTTGTAACAAGATTTAGTTTTCTCCAGCAGAATTTAAATTTAGAATCTTTATCTTCTGAAGTTTATAAAAACAAAACAATTAGAGTTACCATTCTTTGGGCAGCTGTTTTTGTTTCTTGCTTCTATGACTTGTTATGTGTTGTTTCATAAAAAATGATTTCACCATTCCACTCACTGTAAGGGGAAAAACATCAGAAATTGTTACATAAAATTTGATACTGAGAAATAAAGGAAAGAGATATTTAACGATATTGAGCCTTTGACTTTAAATATTTTTTTTTACAGCCATGTTGATAAAACCCTGCATGTGATGCAACTAAAAACAAAATCTGATGTTGAAGTGTTGCATATGTGATTGTTGTGAACATGCTACTGTAAACATTAGAAAACTGTGGCACATAAGAAACTACTAGCTACCTTACTGTAAACACTAAAAATAACAACAAATATTTTTAATACAGTTGAGAAACATCAAGGATGTGGTATAGCAACATCCTTATGTGTGAGATTATTAAACTTGAGATGTGTGATGATGAAACCTTACGTGTATGATGCAACACGCTCCCAACTGTCAGGTACGAGACCGTAATGCTGACCATGATAAAAATCTCCACAAGGATGGCCACCCAGGCCAGGCTGGGGTGGTCTCTCTGTAACAGTTTGGTCAGGGGGAGGGTGGAGATCTCTCCCTTCATCTCTGCACTGTAAGACATAAGTTTTTTTATTTAGAAAACTTCTGCACTGTAAGACATAAGTTTTTTATTTAGAATATTTCTGCACTGAAAGACACAAGTTTTTTATTTGGAAAATTTCTGCATTGTAAGACACACAAGTTTTTCTTTTAGAAAAATAATTTCAGTTCTAAAATGCACAAATGTTTTTAATTTAAAAAATCCAGAATCAAAATGTAAAATAATTTTCAACAAAATATTTTCAAACAGAAATTATTGTATAAATATGTTTAGTTAGTTTGTAGTTTCACACTAAATTCAAATACTTAAACCATGTGTTTTAAAACATAAATAAAAAGAATGTTAACTTAAACAGTCAAAATAGTATAAAAAAGCACCGTTGTGACAACGTGAATATCAACAAAACTAACAACCTTTCTAATGATAAATCTCCCCTGCATATACTTGGAGCAGAGTGACCACTGGTAGTGTTGGAGAACATCTGCCCTTTTACGACTTGAGGCATACAAGCCATGACTATAGTCTGAGGGACAATTTCTAACACTGCCAAACACCTGAAATTATAAAGCTCAGATAAAAATATTTTTCAAAAAAAACTTTTTAATGTAACATTTTTTGTACCATAACACAACAAAACAAAACATTCATTTAAATTAATGATAAATAATATAAGAATATTTTTATATTACAATTATTGTTAAACTGATTACAACGATGTGTACAGTTACAAATAAGAATTAAAGAGCTTGGTAAATATACCTTGTGTATTACGTAGTCAAGTTTACATAAACATTTGTTTAAAAGGACAGGTTAATTACCATAAAATATTCAGGAAGACGCAGGTCCATAATCCAAGCAGTACAGCCAGACGATAATTAAAAATCTAAAAACACAAAAGCACAATTTGAGTGGCAAACACATTACATAAGTTAGTCTTGTATTGCAAGATAAATGGTCAAATAATTACATTAGGTAGTCTAGTATTGCAAAATAAATGGTCAACTAATTAAATAATTCAGTATTTAAAAGTTGAAACAATCTACACATCATCTACAATGTGGGTTTACAAGGTGAATGGCCAACAAATTACATAATCAAGTTTTGCCGTACATATTAATTAAATAGCCAACAAGTAATATAAATCGAGTTTGGCCATACAAATTAAATGGCCAACAACTTACACAATCAAGTTTGGCCGTACAAGGTTAATAGCCAACAAATTATAAAAGGCAGTACTGAACTACAAGTTGAAACAATAATCTCCACATCACTACATTAAAATGTTGAAACACAAGTTTACCTGTTTTTTCTTAAATGTGACTTTTTCAAAAGTGTATGGCATTATGTTGCAGACACCCCCTGCACGGAAATGAAAATTTTTAAGAAAGTTCTAATAATATGGAACACCATTATTCATCAAACAGATTAATCTAAACACACATTAAAGTAAAAAATTCAATCTTGCCCTATCAGCCTACTTTCATAACATCTAAGAGTTTAATTAAACTTACAAAAAAAACGATGAAAAAAAAAGGTTAGCTAATAAAAATCTGAAGTGAGAACAGCACAAACCTAATGCTACCGTCCCCATCAAGAAAGGTGCACCTAGGTAAGAAAAATCATTGCTAATTGTTCTGGCAACTTGTAGTCCCACATAAAATGTTACTCCAGCCTGTAAAAGACATGCACAGATCTTAAAGTTAAAAAAACAAACAAAGTAGGCTTATTTATTTACATTGCTAAACACTGAATACAAGATTGTATGATTACATTGATTACTGTAAAGAAATACAACCTATAGAAATGTATTCTAGTCATAAATAAAATAAGCTATCAGTCTTTGTTATACAAACACAATGTGTGTGAATTTACTGGGCCCAGTTGCAGTGAGCTTAGAAAATAAAACAAAATGTTTGGACTTAGATGAAGCCCTAGGAATTAAAACAAAATGTTTGGACTAATATGGAGCCCTAGGAAATTAAACAAAATGTTTGGAGTTATATGGAGCCCTATGAAATAAAACAAAATGTTTGGACTTATATTAAGCCCTAGGAATTAAAACAAAATGTTTGGACTAATATGGAGCCCTAGGAAATTAAACAAAATGTTTGGACTTAAACGTGTTTCAAAATCTGTTTAATTAAAGTAATCTTTCTACTTAAAAAGTGTCCTTTTAAAATAAAATGTGTACTTAGTACCCAGCAGCAGGGAGCCATTGAGAAAAGTGTACTTACAGTCCCCAACAAGAAATGTGTACTTACAGTCCCCAACAAGAAATGTGTACTTAGTCAACAACAGGGAGCCCTTGAGAAATGTGTACTTACAGTCCCCAACAAGAAATGTGTACTTACAGTCCCTGACAAGAAATGTGTACTTACAGCCCCTAACAAGAAATGTGTACTTACAGTCCCCAACAAGAAATATGTACTTACAGTCCCCAACAAGAAATGTGTACTTACAGTCCCCAACAAGAAATGTGTACCTACAGTCCCCAACAAGAAATGTGTACTTACAGTCCCCAACAAGAAATGTGTACTTACAGTCCCCAATAAGAAATGTGTGCTTAACGCCCCCAACAAGAAATGTAGAAATGTGTACTTACAGTCCCCAACAAGAAATGTGTACTTACAGTCCCCAACAAGAAATGTGTACCTACAGTCCCCAATAAGAAATGTGTGCTTAACGCCCCCAACAAGAAATGTGTACTTACAGTCCCCAACAAAAAATGTGTACTTACAGTCCCCTACAAGAAATGTGTACTTACAGTCCCCAGCAACAGGGAGCCCTTGAGAAATGTGAGGATTGAAATCACTGGCTGAATCAGCTGGAGGCCAAACAGGATGACCAGGGTCAACACCCAGACAAAGACAGGAATCACATAAATATGTCTGGGGAATTACAGGAATCACATAAATATGTCTGCAGGATTACAGGAATCACATAAATATGTCTGGGGAATTACAGGAATCACATAAATATGTCTGCAGGATTACAGGAATCACATAAATATGTCTGGGGAATTACAGGAATCACATAAATATGTCTGCAGAATTACAGGAATCACATAAATATGTCTGAGGAATTACAGGAATCACATAAATATGTCTGAGGAATTACAGGAATCACATAAATATGTCTGCAGAATTACAGGAATCACATAAATATGTCTGAGGAATTACAGGAATCACATAAATATGTCTGAGGAATTACAGGAATCACATAAATATGTCTGGGGAATTACAGGAATCACATAAATATGTCTGCGGAATTACAGGAATCACATAAATATGTCTGCGGAATTACAGGAATCACATAAATATGTCTGCGGAATTACAGAAATCACATAAATATGTCTGCGGAATTACAGGAATCACATAAATATGTCTGCGGAATTACAGGAATCACATAAATATGTCTGGGGAATTACAGGAATCACATAAATATGTCTGCGGAATTACAGGAATCACATAAATATGTCTGTGGAATTACAGGAATCACATAAATATGTCTGCGGAATTACAGGAATCACATAAAAATGTCTGCGGAATTACAGGAATCACATAAATATGTCTGGAGAATTACAGGAATCACATAAATATGTCTGGGGAATTACAGGAATCACATAAATATGTCTGGGGAATTACAGGAATCACATTATTATGTCTGAGGAATTACAGAAATCACATAAATGTCTGTGGAATTACATGAATCACATAAATATGTCTGTAGAATTAGAGGAATCATATAAACATGTCTGGGGAATTACAGAAATTACATAAATGTGTCTGGGGAATTACAAGAATCAGATAAATATTCCTGGGGACTACAGGATTCACATAAATGTTTGAAATTAATATACCTGGAGAAATTACAGGAATTTGGGGAACTTCTGTAGAATAACATAACTGGTGTCACCAGAAAGTTGGGAGAGTGTAATAAAACAAATATCTGAGTGGAAAATATTTTCACAGAATGGTTACAATCTGAGGCGAGATCCTGACTTTTGTCAACATGAATGGAACCTGGAGCTAATTTAACTGACAAGCCCTAACTTAATATCAAAGTTGTGCAAGTTGTGATCAAGGAAGTAGAGGACATTGTACCACAAAGCAACATGATAAGTGTTTGATTTAACTTTGAAAAACTTACTCAATGCCAATCAACTGTGCGTAAGCTTCACTTCCTGCCAGTGCGTAAGATATGAGGAGAGCAATGCTGAAAGACAATAACAACAATTAATTCTCACAAAAACAGATTTATAATCCTTTATGTTTTAACATATTTGATGTAAAATGAAGGTAGAGAAAGAGGGTAATAGTAACTCACAATTGAAGAATAATGAGGACATCAAATGTCTGCTGAAGTCCACAGGTGAGGAAGAGTTTGCCCAGCATGTGAAGGTTGGGGGACTGGACCAGAGGCACCTCACGAATGTGCTGCATCTTGCCTCGCATTATGGCGCCTGTGAATTGAACTGAAATTGGTTGTCTTGTCAAATTAAAATCAGCTGAAAGTTAATTGAACAAATTTTTCATTTAGATTTGATTATGTAAAGAGCTAGGTAAAACTTGATTAAGTATATAGCTGGTATGGCTAAACAAATATGCATTGTTGATATTGCTAAATTAGCTGGAGAGCTAACACATTTGCTATCTTCATTTAAATAGCTGTATAATATTACAAAAATAACTACACAAACCACTTTTGTCTTTATTTAATAGTATCTAAAACAACTCAGCTCTTTACATTAATTTAAAATAATACAACCATTATAATTATAATATGTTAACATTTGGACATATTTAATATTTTTAATTTTTAAATATAAAACTTTACATAACTGATTTTGATATGTCATAGTTTTTATTGGGCTTTTATATATTTTCTGAATGACTGATGTCTTATAATGTGTATATATTACTGCAGGAAGTTGGTTTTGAGCTTCATCTCTGCACCAATCAAAACCTAGCACAATACAAATGTTATCATTGACAAATAGTCTAAAGCTTGAAACAATAAAACCTACCATTTGATTGCCCATCATCGTCATCATCATCGGAGTCTATACAAAACTCCTCCTCTATCACAGTGTTTAGAGGGATGGATTCTTCCTAGAGAAACCAAAACAAGATCATTTTTACCTGATTTTACCTGATGGATCTCTAAACATTACACTAATAAAGATTTGTGTAAAACACCACTAAGACTGGTTAGCTAAAGTCAGCATCACATTACATAGCTAAAGGCTTGTGTAAAACACCACTAAGACTGGTTAGCTAAAGTCAACATCACATTACATAGCTAAAGGCTTGTGTAAAACACCACTAAGATCAAGTCTGAGATCACTTACCCCCTTGCGCTGGTATTGGGCGGCCATGGCCCTCTGTAGGACATCAGTGAAGAAATAAATGAGCAGCGACTGAAGTGTACGAAAGTTTACATGTACTAAAGTTTACATCAACTTCAGACAAAGATTTATAACAGAACAACTGACTTAAGTGTACGAAAATTCTCATGTACTAAAGTTTACTTCAATTTCAGTCAAAAATGTATGGCAGAACAACTGACTTAAGTGTACAAATCCAAAACAATACTTTGTTCATTATATATTTGCATAGCCACACTCAAGGCTAAAAACTGTACCATTACTCAATGTTTGATTTGCATTACAAATATTTGTATTAGTATTTGTAGTTATTTGTATTCGCTAATACATGAGCTAGATACCCCTAACGACACCTGTAATTACATGTGTATGTTTACCTGAACAACAGCATCTGTAAGAAAGCTGATGAGAAATGGGTAGAACCCAGCCTGAGTTAGTTTTACTGGCAAACCTGGAAAAATAGTTTAGCTAATTAAAAACATGAATCTTAAAGGACTGCACTCAATCAACTATTAAACAAAAACAGCATTTAAATATGCTAGATCTAAGTAAACAAGCACATCCAAGTAATAAAACAAAGACAACAAAGTATAAACAGATTTCACCTAGTATCAATCTGTCTAACACAATCTAATTAACAAAAGTTTAAACAAAAGTCTTAATAACATAATAATTATTAATCCTACTTTGGATAGTGATAGGGAGTGTTTTACAGAGATTATTGGAGTAGATTATCATAGGAGAAGAGTCAAATGGGAGTAGAGTATCATGAGACTACAATAGGTATCATGGAAGTATATAATGCAATTACAAGAGTTAAGCACAGGTGATCAAATGGTCAACTAAAAGAGAAAATTTTGATACAAAAAAATATTTACCTAATATCCCAGTTCCCAGTATAGTTGCTATGGTGACAAAATCTGAAAAAAAAATTATTTGTATTAGAATAATATTAGGGAAGGATTGATCCCCCATCTATGAACAAGTTCTAAAATGGTACAGTACAGTGACAAGTATGATGCAATGATTAAAGCAGTATTAGAATAATAGGGAGGGACTAATCCAGCTGCTGTAGCCTTCACCGCAACAATTTGAGATGCAAATTTTATGCAGATCAAAATATAGATTCTGCAAGGTTAACATCTGTTGTTAATTATATGTTAACAACATAATTTTTACATTTAATTAAGCATGTTTAGATGTTGATTATTAATTATCATTTTTTGTTAAATTGCTAATTTTGTGTTTTTAGGGGAGAGCACTATCATGGACTGGGAAGATAAGTCAGAATCCTCCATGTAGTAGAGAGTGATGCCTGCCATTTTAAACTTCATTATTGCTTAAAAAGACTAAACAATTAAAAACTACATTTGTTTACATTTAATGTGATAAAAATTTCCCTTATCAAAATAAATCAATAACCTAGAAATTGCTTGATTTTTTTTTTAAAATGTGTTTATTATTAAATGGCTATGATGATAAAACTCTATGCCTTTGTAAGGCTAGGCTAACTTTTACTCAGGTAGCTGTGACCCAGTTTCCAGTTAATGAAAAACTGACACTGGCCCATCTGAATACATGACGTCAATCTAAGGAAAAGATAGTGTGATGCTGGACAGGCAATTTTACAGGAAACAGGTGTAGCCATGACAACTACAATTTGCTCTAGAAATTTTATAAGAATAATGTCAGCAGCTGACTTAGAAACACTGTTATGTTTGCAAGCACCAAATTTAGCATCACCTAAAACAGATTGTAATAACTTTAAGTTACTTAGATTTGCTAAGTTCTTTGATGTACCTTCACAGAATTTCTAAAAAATATATTATCCCTATGTTTGTTTTTCTAAACATTTTAAAATTTGCTCTGTGGCAGGTATTGTGTTCTAGATATGTGTACAGTACATGTTGCAGGTATTGTGTTCTGGATACGTGTACACTACATGTTGCGTGTTCTAGATAGGTGTACAGTACATGTTGCAGGTTTTGTGTTCTGGATACGTGTACAGTACATGTTGCAGGTATTGTGTTCTAGATATGTGTACACTACATGTTGCAGGTATTGTGTTCTAGATATGTGTACACTACATGTTGCGTGTTCTAGATAGGTGTACAGTACATGTTGCAGGTTTTGTGTTCTGGATACGTGTACAGTACATGTTGCAGGTATTGTGTTCTAGATATGTGTACAGGACATGTTGCAGGTTTTGTGTTCTAGATATGTGTACAGTACATGTTGCAGGTTTTGTGTTCTAGATATGTGTACAGGACATGTTGCAGGTTTTGTGTTCTAGATATGTGTACAGTACATGTTGCGTGTTCTAGATATGTGTACAGTACATGTTGCAGGTTGCATGTTCTAGATATGTGTACAGTACATGTTGCAGGTTGCATGTTCTAGATATGTGTACAGTACATGTTGCAGGTTGCATGTTCTAGATATGTGTACAGTACATGTTGCAGGTTGCATGTTCTAGATATATGTACAGTACATGTTACAGGTTTTGTGTTCTAGATATGTGTACAGTATATGTTGCATGTTCTAGATATATGTACAGTACATGTTGCAGGTTGCATGTTCTTGATATGTGTACAGTACATGTTGCAGGTTGCATGTTCTAGATATATGTACAGTACATGTTGCTAGTGTATTATGACCTCAAGTGATTTGTTTAATTCTTATGATTTCCTATAATATACAATTTAAAAATCACAAACTTTTTGAAACACCAAACTGTATCATGGTGTGTGTGTGTGACTAGATCTAATGCACTGGGCTTCAGCCCTGACCTTTAATATGAAAAACATAACACACTCATCATCTAATATTAATATTGTTTGTCTCGTCTGAACGCCCTGACATCCAAATAATGAGAGCAAACTTGAACCAAGTACTTTGGGGGTGCATGGGGGGAAGCTAGATGGAGGATATCCTTTCACTTGAACCTGAGGGTGCTCAAGTGCCATAGTGTAATATCAGCTGTTAGTGTGCAATGCCAGGTTTAATCCAGGGGCCAGCAAAACTCTGTATTTTGGTTGGTTTTATTAAAATACACTTGTAAATAATTTGTCCATAATTTTAATGTGAGGTTACTAAAACAAAGTGGTTATTCAGATTATATTCAGATAACAACAAAGTAGGAAATAAGTTTAGTCCATAGTTACACATTATGTATAGGGGCCTACCTTTTATGTTGTGACTCTTTTCTTGTGGATTCACTAGTATTTTGATTAATATGTATTAACTAGAACCCTAATTCTAACACAAATAATTCCACACAATATCTTGGTAGACGATATCTAAATAAAAAATAACTAAATATTATCCAATCAAAACATGTTGGTGTTGCCGAGTGAAGAGCATGATGACCAATCCCTAAGTTTCAGGTTCAGAAGTTTGTCCTTGTTATTTCTTTTCTGTGCAAAAGCAAATGGCTTGGATCTGTACAGCCAATTTGGACTAATCTGATCCATAGGGTTCAAGAATCAGCTTGATCCAAATGGCTAGGGCAGACTTTACACACCCAGGTTTATTTAACTTTAGCATAGCCACCCCTCACTAATCCTTATTTTAAAATCAGCACCCAGGCTCCCCACACTCCCTTTGACTGCAACTGCACTGACATTTTATGTGTAAACCACTCAACAGTTAAATTCTTTTTTTGACACAGAATGTCAATATCTTTCAATGTTGTTAGCTTATTAGTAAAGTTTCTCTAAAGACCTAGTGATCCATAGGGCAGATGAAGTAGAGGTCACCTTTCTTAACCTCAGCCACCTTTCCCCAAAGTCAGGTACTCATAACAGCTGGGTGGACTCAAGAGATGTCCTAGTCACAAGTCTGTCCGAACCAAGATCCAAACTTAAGACCTTTCGGCTAGCAGCCAAATGCTCTACCATTTGACCACGCAATCCCACCAGTTTATTACTAATTACATACATGGTAATTATGTGAAAACACCAGCATCTAAAAATTCTTAGTATGTTTTTTTTGCCACCTTTTATTTTTGAAATGTAGCCAAGCCAATCTGTTTTGCATGGCTCTCTAGCTCTCAAGTACCAAAAACTATAATTTGAAGCAGCTCCACACAAAAAAAGTTACAATATAAATATGCAGGTATCAGTAAAATTATTGAAATAAGTAGACCCAACTATTAACTATTACTAACTTACACACCATTTAAATTATTTTAAAATGATTCCATTTCATTATTAATAATATTATTGACACAATATTGTGGCTTTATATGGGACACTGAGGTACTACTGTGTAACTTATTTTTTTAACTAAACTATGTAGGCCTATATGTTCTAACTTCTAGTCTGGCTAGTCTACTTTAACTAGTTACTAGACGTCTACAGTATCTAAAGTTTATATAAATACTAGAAGCTAGCTGTGTGTAGTGTACTAGAGGCGTAGCGAGGGAGGGGCGGGGTGCGGACCGCATTGGGTGACACTGGGGGGGGGGGGGGGGGGTGACACCATGGCAAAAAATTTAAAAAAATGTACAGAAGAAAAATGCTTTTGGCCAGTTCCATTAAGGATTAATTAAAGTAAAATAGTTTTTTAGTACAAACTGACAATTATTACACGTCTGTGTGAGTGACACCATGACGTAACCGCTTTAACCTTAGAGAAACAATGCTACATGCAACTGTTTTATTAACAGACTATAGGCCCTAGATTATAATTGTTACCATTAAGTTTGCAGTGATTAAAGCTTATGCACATACATGTACCACAGTGTACTCCTACTGTCACTGACACTGTGTAACTTGTATTTAGGCCACTCTACTAATAATAAATAATTAGATTATTAGGCCTATAGTATAGTATCAGTAATTGGTTATGCTTATTACTAATTAATTAGGCCTAAACTAATATAAATTATAAACTAATACTCTATTTTTAATAACCGTCTTTTTACACTCTTTGTTAATACTAATAACTAATTTAGGTAATCTATCGTTTTAGGTACGTAAAATCGCCAGCGACTAGTAATGTGAAAAACAGGTAACTCCTTACATTTTAATAATTATTTCACATTTTGAGGAGGATTTATGTTTTGAAAAATACAAAAATGTTTCCTTGTTTCATTTATGTACCTGTTTTTAAACAATTGAATTAAAACTTTTCACTAATAAATAAACACCAGCGATGTTTCCAACAGATGCAACCATGCTAATTTACTATAACAGCCATCTTGTTAAAGGCGGAAGTCACTCTATTTTACAAATGGCTGCTGTTTATATAGCAAATCTTGCTTGCAGACACTGCTGTTTAAAGTTAATTTCTGGCCTATACTATATTGATATAATTATATTAAAATTATATTTAGCCATTGATTTAGGTTTATTATTCATTTATCTATAATATTAGACACAAACATATCACAATATACTTCTATTACAGCCTTGATAATGAGGTAACGTTTTCGTACATTAATAGCCACGGGAGATTTTACGTACCCAAAACGATAGATTACCCTAATTTAATACTAAATACTAGGCCTAATAGTTTTAATTTTTAATAGAGTTTAATAATTAATAATTAAGTAGAGACTCAAAGAGTATTACTATATTACTGTAGAGTATTACTAAATTACTATTTTACTAGACTAGGCCCTAGGCCGACTGAGTCCCTGACTCACTCACACTGACAATGGACTGGCTACAAAATACACAGTTACAATACAGTACAGTTGAGTACAGTACAGTTTTGAGTACACACTACAGTTGTCAGTACTTACATGCCTGTAAATTTACGACAAAGTCGGGTTTGTTACACTTTGCCTTAGACATGGCAACCATGATGATTTTATATAGAATCTAGATAGATCTATATCTAGATCTAATTTATTTATTAATCAAGAGAAACATCCGACACATAGCATAGCGTATCATATGGATCTGGATTGGATTGTTGTTAGGCTAATCTGTACTGAGCTATAATATTATGACTTTTCTATTTTTATTTTATAACCCAAATTGAGCTCTTCAAGAGAGGGAACTCTAATATAGTCTAAGAAATTAAACTGTATAAGTTATCGTTCATGTCCATGGGATTTGTTGGAATAAAATTCAAACGACATCGTAAAATAAAAATAATAATAATTTTAGAGAATTCATAAAAGCAAAAATAACCAGATCCTCTCCTTAAAATGACCTCACACCTCTGCCTATATCATCAGCCCTCAAAATTGTTTTTAAAGCATTGATTTCTTTCTAAAATATTGTTTGTACTTGTTCAACATTGAGTAAAATTTATTCATTAATTTCTATCATAATTTACAAAAACAGCTTTGTAAAACGAGAAATAAAGGGCTAAATTAAATCTAAAGCATTTCTTTTTGAAACGCAAAAATGTGTCGTCACACTTTCTGAAACTCGGCTCCTTGTCACCAATCATCCGAAAATTCTATTCAATTTTGGAGATGATGTCGTTTATACAGGGGCGTAGCGAGGGGGGGGGGGGGCGGGAGGTGCGGACCGCACCGGGTGACACCATTTAGGGAGGGGTGCAAATCGAAAACTTTGGGGGGGGGGGGGGGTGCAAATCGAAAACTTGAGGGGGGGGGGTGCAAATCAAAAGTTTGAGGGGGGGGGTGCAAATCGAAAACTTGAAAGTTTGTCCCCCCCCCCCCCCTCAAGTCGCTACGCCTCTGGGGGGTGACACCATTAAGTGCCGCACCGGGTGACACCCGACCTCGCTACGCCACTGCGTTTATATTCGATCCTTTAGTCAAATAAATTAATATTCATGTATCCTTGACTGATATCACGAATACCATTTTAGCGTACTTGTTAAATCTTAATTTAAAAATGTATCATATGCCTGTTGTCTATAAATGAAAGTAGTATGTGTGTTTTGTCTTTGGGAATTTTATGGATTATTGCTCCGTTTATCTCAGAAGCGTAGTGACCCACTCCGACAGTTGAGTGCGTTTGGGCGCCCCGAGTTTCCCTGCGGTTACCTGATCACATGAGGTCCGTTGTGGGCGTCTTGAACAGGGGAGGGGGTCAGGGGGTCAGGGTACTACTTGATGCATTGGTCAAACTGCAACATGGGACAGCCGACAATGTTTACGTTTAAATAGATCTAAATCAGTGTAAGAAAACAAGGTCACACATCTAAAAATACAACGGGTGGATGAAACTTTTATAAGCTGCTGCGCGAGTGCAAATCAAATCACATGTCAAGTGGAGATTAACAACGTCATAGTCCAGAAAAATATATATAAAGATTGTAGCACACATATTTTTATCCATAAACATATGTATACATTTATATCATATGTATATATATATACATACATACATACATATAAATAAATAAATTTAGTCCAGAGGGTGACACCCTGAGTTACTGCACCTGGTGACACCCGACCTGGTGACGTCACAGCAGACAGGTGTGATGCAGGTGTGTGTGCTCACCAGTGGGCTAAGCAAGCCAGTGTTGCAGCTGTTGGGTGAACACCTGTCAGGTAGCAGTTGCCTGTTGGGAGCAGGTTGTTCTGTCACCTGTAGTTGGATCAGGTTTCTACATGTGTTCTACCACTCCGGGTGTCACGATGTCACACTGTCACACTGTCACACTGTCACACTGTCACACTGTCACACTGTCACACTGTCATCACAACAACAACCACCACAAGTCCTTTGTCTTGCGACACTATTTACATTACTTCACGTGTGGAGACAAGTGTGTGATCTTTCAGTAGAAACTATCAGATTTAAGAGAAATATAACTGCAATATAGTATTTAAAAGAGTTCAGTTGAAACAAACAGAGGTGTCTCCCTTGGAGGCGGGATCTTCCCTAGCAACCAGTATGTTTCCATGACGCCTTTGCCCTGAAACAAAACAAAATTTTAAAAACATTGTACACTAACTAGTAGGTCTAACTACTCGTTGGTCGGCCCTTCACATTCCAAGGTCAAACAGTCAGGTAGCTTTATTTTATCTATAGTTTGGAGAGGCAAGTCTTTAAAATGTACTCTAAAAATTCATGACAATTGTTGAATTATCGGACAGTCCATCAATGCTCAAAACACTGCAATACGAATTTGGAATACAATGAACTCACTCACTGACATATATTATATATATATATATATATATATATATATATATATATATATATATATATATATATTATATATATATATATATATATATATATATAATATAATATATATATATACATGTATGTATGCACACTAAGTACACTAAGTCTGACCTTAATTTGTACAGGTGTTCTGGGTTCCATTAAGTACACCTGACGATGTTGGAGCAATGCTGCACTGGATGGGGACAGGTGGATACCATGCGCTGTGGAAAAGTGTGCCAGTATGATGCCCAGTGCCAGACAGTTTCTACCCCCCCCCCACCCCCCTCCACACACGTGTCCCATACACTGGTTGTAGAATGTGTGGGGGTTGTGAGTTGTGTACAGGGAACTGTTGTGGGTGGGAGTAATTATGAAGATAAACTCGAACTCATCACTATATTTTCTCGTTCTTACTCAAGACACACGGGACAGATGAAGTAGAGTTCGTTTGTTTCAATGACCTCAGCATAAGGGGGATATCGTTGTCAGCACTATGCCCAGCGCCTCTGTTTCCCTAACATGGGTCAGGTACCCATAAAAGCTGGGTGAACTCAGGGACCTCCTACAGACTCGAGCCCAGGATCCGAACTCGAGACTTTCGGGTTAGTAGTCTAGCGAAACTAGCTGGTAGGGCTAAAACCTCAATCACCAACATGTGGGAGTTCTATCCGCTCCCTTCTGCTCCCCTACAAGATGAACACGTCTTGCCACCACGAGCCCACTCTCCGGGGAGGGGTGCACACACGAAATATAATTTATACAGAAAATGTATCATTTTACCAGTGTTCGCCAGCCCCCCCCCCCTAGAAAATTAAGTCCGCCCCCCCCCCCCCCCCCGAAATTTTCAAGTGCCCAATTCTCGCATTCCACAAAAAGTCTGAAAGAAACACTGAAAGCAATGAACCCCGTTACTGATGTGTCTTAACAGTGTATACCCCACCTACAAAATATGTCACTCCTATCCCACTATCCCCCCCCCCACATACAGTACCTATGCTACCGACGATCTTTGGTACACTGTGTACTATCACCCTAAGTACACATAACAAAATGTACTCAGTGGTATCGTTGAGTATAAACAAGGGGAACTACTCCAAAGAATAATCTAATGTTAACATTTACAAACATAACAGTTCATAACCCTTAACAGAAGGCATTCAGAGAGTGACATAACAGGTTTGCATTTCAAAAAGTAATCGTCGAAATTTAATTTAGCATTAACAACTAATTAATTTACGTATTGGGTGGGCAGAGGGTTGACTGTAGAGAAGGGGGGGGGGACTTTTTGTTACGATGAGTGGGGGAGAGAGATAAATATGATGAGGCCATGTTTGAACTAGGCCTTCTTCTTACGTTTGCTTGTTGATTGCATCCTGGATGCCATGTTGACGGTGTCGCCGAAGAGAAGGTACCGCGGCATCTTCAACCCAACAATACCAGCAGCAACACAGCCTGAAATTAGACAACAGTAACACAATGTACGGTAGAGTCAATGTAGTACATGATAATATTAGTAAACTTACTGTTTGTTTCTAGCCCTACATTAGATAACAGTAACACAATGTACGGTAGAGTCAATGTAGTACATGACAATATTAGTAAACTTACTGTTTATTTCTAGATTCTAGCCCTAGATTAGACAACAGTAACACAATGTACGGTAGAGCCAACATAGTACATGACAATATTAGTAAACTTACTGTTTATTTCTAGCCCTAGATTAGATAACAGTAACACAATGTACGGTAGAGTCAATGTACTACATGATAATATTAGTAAACTTACTGTTTATTTCTAACCTGAGTTTAGACAACAGTAACACAATGTACGGTAGAGCCAACATAGTACATGACAATATTAGTAAACTTACTGTTTATTTCTAGCCCTAGATTAGACAAAAGTAACACAATGTACGGTAGAGTCAATGTAGTACATGACAATATTAGTAAACTTACTGTTTATTTCTAGCCCTAGATTAGATAACAGTAACACAATGTACGGTAGAGCCAACATAGTACATGACAATATTAGTATACTTACTGTTTATTTCTAGCCCTAGATTAGACAAAAGTAACACAATGTACGACAGAGTCAATGTAGTACATTACATTACAATCTTGAATAGTAGTAGACCCACTGTTTATTTGTAGCAATTGCTTATACAGGATTTCCTCATGGTGGGGGGGGGGGGGTTAAACTGTGTTTCATATATTTTTTGAATGGGGGAGGGCAGTGCCGGCGCCAGGTTATTTAGCGCCCCAGGCAAAACTTTTTAAAAAGCCCATTTCACACAATATAATTACTAAAACATATGTATAAGGAAACAATTAATTAAAAGTGACATTAATTTATTATCAATTGCATACACGGTATACGTAGACATCAAAATATAATTTTACTTGCCTCCTTCGTCTCAAAAGTTTGCACTAATTCCTTTAATTCCAGTTTGCAAACGTAATCACATTTTATTGAAATTGTTGCTAAGTGCACGAGTCTACTTTGTACTTTACGACATAGCCCCCCTCAACCCCCCCCCCCCCCCCTTTAAAAATTTTCAGTGCTTCCCCCCCCCCCCTCTTCCCTAGAGAAAAATAAAATGTTATAAATAATATAGATTCCAGCCTAAAATTGTTATATATGAATCCTTTAGACCAGGGGTCTCCAAACTACGGCCCGCGGGCCGGATGCGGCCCGCGAGGTCCTTTCATCCGGCCCGCGGAGATCTTTCTGACCACGGAAAAAAATGTTTGTAGGAGGTGGCTGAGTAACTTTGCCCCGAAAATTCAAAGTCGTTTGAAAAAGTAGCTTTGGGTGCATATACCAGAGAGGATATAATCAATGAGTTTAAAAAAAAACATTAATTTGCTGATTATAACTTTGAATGGACTAACTTCAGTTACCTGACTTTTGATGGTCGAAAGTACATGAGTGGCATAAAGAAAGGCTATAATGGACAAGCGAAGGAGAAAAACATTCTACAACCAATGTTCCTGTACTGTATTATTCCCCAGCAAGCTTTGTGTGCTAAGTATGTGGGCATTAGCAGTGTACTGAATCCTATGGTGAAGATGGTGAATTTAATAAGGTCACATGGGCTTAACCATAGATAGTTCGAGACTTGTTGAAAAATACAAACACAGAATAGAGAAAGGAAATAGGTTATTTTCTGGAAAGTAAATTCAAGCTACAGCCAATAATGTCTGATGAAGAGTGGATATAGAAATTGGCCTCTGCTGAAGACATAACCAGTCATTTTAATTTTCGGAACCTATATCTACAAGAGAAGGAAATCTAGTGTTTGATCTATACACCCACCTAAAGGCATTCACGTATAAACTTGTCATGTTTTTGGAACAAGTAGGCCTACAGGCCAACAACTTCACTTTCAGCAGTGCAAGGTCTTCATGGCTAAACAACAGCTGAGTTCCCCACGTCATTTGCATGCGAGATCATCAAAGTTTCAGCGGCAGTTTTCGAACTTGTATTCAAAGGCAGAAGAAGTGAGACTGTTTCAAAGCCCACTTCAAGCATGTGTGGCCAGCTGGAGGTTGTAAATTGCAAGCAAATGACCTCCTTAGAGACAAGTGCAAAGAAGGGCGGGTGGGTTTTTATAAGTTTTTGCCCAAGGAAGACTTTCCTAATATTAAAACTTTTGCATCAAAGGACCTTTCAAATTTTGGAACAACATATCTGTGTGAATAAAAATTTTCAAGAAGGAAATACGTGAAGAACAATTTGAGAGCAAACTTGGACCTCGAGTGTGTTGGCGGCCCTCGACAGTGTTTCTTTCAGACTTTTTTTCTCCTTTGGGTGGGGGGTACTTAAAAGTTGTATATATTTCTATACTAATTGTATTTCGTTGGGGTGGGGGAGACGTTCTTCGGGGCAGGGGGGGGGGGGGGGCTCAGACACCCGGAAGAGATGCCTGGAAGAAACTCTGGCCCGCCGAACTGATATTTGATAGTTAATGCGGCCTTTTTTAGATGTTAAATATACGACTGTATGCCTATGTCTACTAACATTAAGTATTGCAATCTATAAAGGCTACTGATGTAGGCCTATTTGTCTTTCAACTTGATAATACTAAAAAAAAACCACTTCAAAACTATTTTGTTGAGATCTTAAGCTCTATATAATTTTTACAATAGCAAATAAAAACTTAAAGTTGTATTTATATGTAAGCTGTCAACCTAAGGTGCAGGAATTTGAAATGAATGTAAAGTTAAGCAATGAATTATCTCCCATTTGAAAATCCAAATACCAAAATTTTTATTCAAGGTAAATAACTTTCACAAGAATAGCTAAATGAGCCAAGTGTAACTAAGACATGCTTGAAATTCACAATAAAACGCTCTAAATTTCATTACGTAGTCATTATATTAAATCTTTTATATTAGCTATGTAACTTAGTGAAAACAATATATTTTACCTATTGAATACTTAACTGTAGGTTTTGCTTGAAAGTCTAAAAGCGGTAGCTTTATTACAACATACTTTCTTTCAAATCCGATGACATTCATTACATTTCGATTTTGTATCATAAAGAACCTTAAAATTTTGGATCCCTTAAATAAAGGGACGCCTTTCTAAAAATCAAACACGGGTAACTGTTTTAGACATTGCTAGAATTGTTGATTAATTATAACAGAAATTATAATTTGAATAAAAAAAAATTAACGATTAGTTATAAATTCCATCCTATTTAATATTATATATTGATACTTTAAGAGTGGTAATATAGATTCGTAAAAAACTTAAGATTTTTCAACAACTACAAAACCCCTACCTTTCTTTGTAGTGTGTTCCGTACTGAATTGAAATCATCTAACTTACGATAAACCCGACTACTCGATATACTCTACTACATTCACAACACATATCATACTTCGATACCTAAACATAACTAGACTCGATGCTCCAGAACTACGACACCATCTCGATTTACTTAACAAAGCTCTACAAACGGTACTCCCAATCAACAACGACTTCACTGAACCTACCACTATACTTTAATAGTCGATATGATTCGATACCTTAATACCACAAGAATCAATACTCCCGAACTCCAGAACTACGATACTTCATCGCCTGCATTATCATTTCTCTATTACCAATCAGATTCCACTAGACCTTCAACTACAAAACAGCCGAATAAAAATTTTTGACACTTTAACACTTCGATACTTTATATCTACGAAACCATATCAGCAACCGCCTTCCGCCGTTACTCCCAAATCTGAACGATTCATCAAACCTTACCAAACAAGTACAATACTTTGAACACCTCGTCATTACAAAACTATGTACATCAGGACAGATTTCTAATTCGAAGTAAGAGAAAACGAGACTTACAAGCCCTATTAAAATTAAATAACCGTTTGAAATATTCGAAATTTAAATAACGAACTTATTTAATCGTTTTCTACATCAATTATGTGACACCAAATTAAAAAGACAAAGTGACTGGTAAAAAGCGTCCCGATCTTTCCAAATTAGGGATGTAGGGTTGCATTTTCACCATCGCGAATAAATATATGCCTATATAGACCTAATTTTGGGGTGGGGGTGCAAAATTGATAGTTCGTCCTAGGTTCTACCAATAGATCGCTACTCCTTTATAAAAGTTATTAATTATTAGGTACTTTTTGATAATAGCGATTAAACATTTAGCGCACCCCCCCCCCCTCTTAAGGATGGCGCCCTAGGCGACCGCCTAGTTCGCCTTATACGTAGCGCAGACCCGGGGGGGGGGGGACTTGAAACTATAACTATTTTTTTTTAAAATATCAGTCAAACGTTGCAAATATAATCAAGCGACACGAGCCCTTATCCACGCCTACGCCGATGTCTTGTAGATATTTTTTCTAGACATAGATAAATAAAAGCTCATATAACTTAAAATGTTATTTAATTTATTAAACATATCACATGAACTTTTTTTAAAATTTAGAACCAAGTTTTTTGACCCGTACCCGTGCAGACGCCAAATTTGAGTCCTATCCCGCGTCCTGACAGAACGTCCAGACACGCAGACGACATCCGGTTCCTCAGGCTCAGACACAGGTCAGCGACCTCAGTCACGTGACTGTCGCCGTTTCTCAGGGGAACACCCGACACCAGCAGAAGTGTGTCTTCTGTATGGAGGAAGTTAAGAAAGATATCATTATTCAAACGACTGGTTACTTTCTTGTTTATCGCCATATCTCATTGGCACATGAGGCATCTACATTAGTCAGCGCCATTTCGTCCTGTCTCTAAGCTCTGCCCTCTGGAAAATTAGACCACTCCTTCAACACTTTCTCCAGTGATCTCCTCCCCAGTTGTTTTCCCTTGCCCTGTGTGCGTGTGATGTGTTTTCCCTTGCCCTGTGTGCGTGTGATGTGTTTTCTCTTGCCCTGTGTGCGTGTGATGTGTTTTCCCTTGCCCTGTGTGCGTGTGATGTGTTTTCCCTTGCCCTGTGTGCGTGTGATGTGTTTTCTCGTGCCCTGTGTGCGTGTGATGTGTTTTCCCTTGCCCTGTGTGCGTGTGATGTGTTTTCCCTTGCCCTGTGTGCGTGTGTTGTGTTTTCCCTTGCCCTGTGTGCGTGTGATGTGTTTTCCCTTGCCCTGTGTGCGTGTGATGTGTTTTCTCTTGCCCTGTGTGCGTGTGTTGTGTTTTCTCTTGCCCTGTGTGCTTGTGATGTGTTTTCTCTTGCCCTGTGTGCATGTGATGTGTTTTCTCTTGCCCTGTGTGCGTGTGATGTGTTTTCTCTTGCCCTGTGTGCGTGTGATGTGTTTTCTCTTGCCCTGTGTGCGTGTGATGTGTTTTCTCTTGCCCTGTGTGCGTGTGATGTGTTTTCTCTTGCCCTGTGTGCGTGTGATGTGTTTTCCCTTGCCCTGTGTGCGTGTGATGTGTTTTCCCTTGCCCTGTGTGCGTGTGGTGTGTTTTCCCTTGCCCTGTGTGCGTGTGATGTGTTTTCTCTTGCCCTGTGTGCGTGTGTTTACTCTCAGTGTTCCGAAATACAAGACCACTGTCGCATGAGGACGGCGTGGCCTGAGGTAGAGCGTTAGACTGCTAACCCGTAAGACTCGAGTTCGAATCCGGGTTTAAGTTAGTAGAACGTCCCTGACTCCGCCCAGCTCGGCTGGGTACTAAACCTTCGTTAGGGAAAGTAACGGCGGCTGAGCATAGTGCTGAACATAGTCCCTTGATATGCTGAGGTCACAGAAACAGGTGAACTCTACTTCACTTGCTCCATGGACCGTAGGGTTCGAATAGGGAACTTTACTTTTACTGTCACCAGTTATCTTTTAAGCTGGCTTGCGTATCCATTGCTATATCTAATAAATTTTTACCTCAATGAGTTTTTATAGATTTTTATATTGATCACATTCTGCACCTCCCTTTTCTAGAACAAACTCACATGTACACACATGTACACATATTACACACTTAAACACACATTACACACGTGTACACACATTACACACATGCCCAACCAAAACAGACTACACATCTCACCAAGGGTTTCCACTTTAAACACGTCATACTTCAGGATCTCCTCGTCCATGACGTCAAAGGCTCGGTTCACCAGGGTTATGACGTCATGGCCGTTACGGGTGAATATGATGTCATCAAAGTCAGAGAGCACGATGAAGCAGACAGTCGCCTGCTCAAAGCTCTCGGGTTGAACGTCTGCCCCTGTAAGCAACCTGTTGTCACAGACGTGAAAATTGTCACGTTAGATACAACTTTGTGCGTGATTTTCTCTATGCGCATTATGCGTTTCTGTGTGTGTGTCCATGTGTACATATTTATGAGTTTTATGAGTGGGTATAGTTTTCCTTAAGCGCATTTTTCTCTGATTTTAAATATTTTTTTTACTGAGCGATTTATTTTCTGAATGTACATTACAGTTTTTACACCGTTGCTCTTTTTTTCTTGCGTATTTCCGGTGCATGTTTTTATTCTGCAAAATTTTAATGTAGAAAATGGACCTTCCATCCGTGACAATGACCCACCTGTCAGCAATGACCCACCTGTCAGCAATGACCCATCTGTCAACAATGACCCACCTGTCAGCAATGACCCACCTGTCACCAATGACCCACCTGTCAGCAATGACCCACCTGTCAGCAATGACCCACCTGTCAGCAATGACCCACCAATGACCCACCTGTCAGCAATGACCCACCTGTCAGCAATGACCCACCTGTCAGCAATGACCCACCAATGACCCACCTGTCAGCAATGACCCGTGACAATGACCCACCTGTCAGCAATGACCCACCTGTCAACAATGATCCACCTGTCAGCAATGACCCACCAATGACCCACCTGTCAGCAATGACCCACCAATGACCCACCTGTCAGCAATGACCCACCTGTCAGCAATGACCCACCTGTCAGCAATGACCCACCAATGACCCACCTGTCAGCAATGACCCGTGGGTACATCTCCGTCAACATCTCCTTGTACCTCCGCTGCTCTTTCACCAACTTGTGAGTTTTGGTCGCCAAGCTCAGGGAGATTCTCTGCATTTTAAACACCAACCTAAAACAATATCCTCATTAGCCTTTAACTAACAGCTTCATTAACCTGAAACAATTAGCATCCTCATTAACCTAAAACTAATCAACATCCTCATTCCTCATTAGCCTGAAACAATCAACATCCTCATTAGCATGAAACTAATTAACATCCTCATTATCGCATAAAACTAATTAACATACTCATTATCATGAAACAATCAACATCCTCATTAGCATAAAACTAATTAACATACTCATTATCCTGAAACAATCAACATCCTCATTAGCATGAAACTAATTAACATCCTCATTATCCTGAAACAATCAACATTCTCATTAGTATAAAACTAATTAACATCCTCATTATCTTGAAACAATCAACATTCTCATTAGCATAAAACTATCAACATCATCAATAGCGTGAAACTAATTAACACCCTCCATTGCCCAAAACTAACATCATCATTAGCCAGAAGCAAATCAACATTTACTCAGGCAAAATTCTGGACTAAACAGAGCGCTCGACTGCTAATAGTGTTGATACTTGTGTAATTCGTGAAATTTCCCTACCGACAAGATAGCGCTGCGAATATCGGGTAAATAGCAAGCTCAAGGATGAAGACGATTGTCGTGTAAATAGTCGTCTTAGCACTTGTCTTTCCGGCTGCTTCTGTTTTGCTTTGTATTTCGCTTTCAAGAAGATCCTTGAACATATTCGGCAAAATAATTACCGACATGCAAATTATATGTAACACTATTCAATTTTTTTCAAGGTTTACAAAGACAATTTTTTGTAGGTACTTATTTTTGACAAGTGTAAAAATTAGACTATAAATAAAATAACATTTAAGCCTTATGGGTTTTAAAGTATTTTAAACATTTAATTTTATTTTTAATCATTAAAATCGAAATAACGTTTTAATAACTTTTAAGATTGTAAAATGCTGCAATGTTTTAACACTTAGCTTTTATTAAGACGAAAATCTAGCAAAACTTTACTACTACATTTCAAAATTTTAAATACTTCTGCTTTCATTATATATTTTGAAATTATATATATATATTTACCGGGAACAGGGCATTTCCCCCCTGTCAATTACCCCCCGGATATTTCCCCCCCGACATTACCCCCCAGAGTAATTACCCCCCTGTCAATTACCCCCCTGTCAATTACCCCCCACCCAGTAGGACATTACCCCCCCCCCCCCCCCCCGGGGACAGGGTTAGGGCTAGGGCTAGGGTTAGGGTTAGGGTTAGGGTTAGGGTTAGGGTTAGGGTTAGGGTTAGGGTTAGCGCTAGGGTTAGCGCTAGGGTTAGGGTTAGGGCTAGGGTTAGGGTTAGGGTTAGGGTTAGCGCTAGGGTTAGCGCTAGGGTTAGGGTTAGGGCTAGGGTTAGGGTTAGGGTTAGGGTTAGGGTTAGGGCTAGTGTTAGGATTAGGGTTAGGGCTAGGGCTAGGGTTAAGATTAGGGTTAGGGTTAGGGCTAGGGTTAGGGTTAGAGCTAGTTTTAGGGTTAGGGTTGTGTCTAGCTTTGGTTTTGGTTTTGTGTGAAGTTTTAGGCTAAGGTGGATGCTTAGGTTTTGGTCTTTTTCTTAAGGTTTGGATTAAAGTAGTATATAGGTATAAAATTCTAGTTAGAGTTAGGATTGTAACTTGAGAAGGGGGGGGGGGTAATTCCCCGGGGGGGGGTAATTGACAGGGGGTAATTGACAGGGGGGTAATTGCTCCGGGGGGTAAATACGGGGGGGAAATGTCCGGGGGGGGGAATATCCAGGGGGGTAATGTCCTGTAGCCATATTTACCTAACTACTAAGATTTAAATTTAAAAAAAAAAAAGAACTCAACATTACCAGTATAAAACTATGGATAGATTTGCTGAATAGTTACTTTATTATTTACTACTCGATTTTTTGCCTTTGATTATATTCTTTGAATGGAAACAAAAACATCAATCAGATGGATAGTATTTGTTAAATTACTGAATATGGACAGAGTTTCTTCCAGGTCTACCGCCCCCCCCCCTCAGAATGAAATGGAATTTATATAGAAAATATATACTTTTAACAGTGTCCGCCCCCCCCCCCCCCCGAAATTTTAGTCCGCCCCGCCCCCCCCCCCCGCCCCCGTAAATTTCAAGTGCCCCTAACCCCCCCCCCCGGAGAAAAAAAAGTCTGGAAGAAACACTGAATATGGAGGTGTATTCTCGGTGTGAGTGGTGAATAAAGAGGTTAAATGTGTGTAGCTTAAAGAGGTTAAATGTGTGTAGCTTAAAGAGGTTAAATGTGTGTAGCTTAAAGAGGTTAAATGTGTGTAGCTTAAAGAGGTTAAATGTGTGTAGCTTAAAGAGGTTAAATGTGTGTAGCTTAAAGAGGTTAAATGTGTGTAGCTTAAAGAGGTTAAATGTGTGTAGCTTAAAGAGGTTAAATGTGTGTAGCTTAAAGAGGTTAAATGTGTGTAGCTTAAAGAGGTTAAATGTGTGTAGCTTAAAGAGGTTAAATGTGTGTAGCTTAAAGAGGTTAAATGTGTGTAGCTTTGTCAGTGTGCTGGGATTAGCGGGCCGCCACCGACCCACGGCCAATGCTTTCACAACCCGAGTAGAAAAAAACGGAGTCACCTGGGCAGAGATCATAGAATCGATAAACTGGGTCATGTACCGGAACCAGTTGGTGGCGTTGTTGAGGGAGGGGATGGA